TATCTATCTATCTATCTATCTATCTATCTATGTATCTATCTATATATCTATATATCTATATATCTACCTATCTACCTATCTACCTATCTATCTATCTATCTATCTATCTATCTATCTATCTCTCTATCTATCTATCTATAATTGTCAAGATTTCTTTAGGCCCCTTATACCCCTAGTTTTTGAGACTCACCACCACTGACGTGCACCTCGTACAGGGAGTATTTTGGCGAGGAGAGCATCCTCATGTCGGGTCTGAACTTCTCGGCTAGCGTCTCGATGACGTCCTGCGTTGTCGCTGTGCTCGACACTCTGATGCACTTGGTGGCAAAGTTACCGGCGACCCGGTCCTGGAAGTAGAACCGCATCACGCCATGGAACTCCAAATCCTGTTTGAGAGACAAAGAGTAAATGTGTTAATATCTACATTCAGGATTCAAGGCTTTTATTGTCATTCGTGCATAGCTACAGTGTAGTTATATCAATGAAAATCTTAGGTCACAGGCTCCTTCTACGGTGCAACACAATAAAAACAGATAAAATAGTGCAAGTAAATACAAATAAAATAGAAAATAAAGTGAAAAAAAGGCAGAGTTGGAGAGGAGACACGGCAGCCATCATCACCGGCACCATCTTATGCAAACCATTACTAGTTAACTGTGAATATAGTTGGCATTCATGACGTTATACATTTCAAGCCATCCAATTGATGACTCTCCTGTTTTGTTTACATTGCAAGTAAACAGAGGGCAGTCAATGCTAATGAAGGACTGAGGAACAGCGTGACCGTTCAGCAACCTCAAGAGTCACAGGAGGAGAGCAGCCTGATTGGCTGAGAGCCAGGAAGTGAAGTGTGTCAGCAGGCGTCGTGACGACAGAGAGAGAGAGAGAGCTGTTTGTTCCTTTATTGGCTGACCTGTCTGTCACACCACAGACTCTCACTATTGTGCATCGCAGCCGACCTCATCAACAGTCCTTTCTACAAAGGTTTGATAGAGAAATTAAATGCATATATGCCTAATTGATTACCTCAATAACATGGGTTACACTGCTAGAAATCTGACGTAATTGCATATCTATGTGTCATGCTAAAAGTCCATATTTACAAGAATCCCTCTCATCGCCAAATATCTAAACAAATGTCATTTTAGCAAGACTTTTTGGAAAATTAACCTATGAAATGAAATGTGCTGTTCTAGGATAATCACAGCCTTGTCAAATTGAACAGCCACACACAAGAGACTGCATTGTTTGTTCTGTGTGTTCCTAAATGCCTTGGTGTCTTATATGTATTTTGGAGCCACTTTTTGTATCATTCTTAAAATAGTCAAAAAAATATATATTTGCACTAAATCCGTGTGGTCTACAAATTGCTGCATTATTGCAAATTGAGATATAGTAGAGCATGGGAATGTCTATCATCATAATGGTCAACTTCCACATAATGCTGTAAGCCCTTATACCCTTTCACTATTTATTCAAACATATTCATTCATATATGTATTCCTCATTCATGACTAAGCAACATGACACTCTTCAAATACATCTTCAAGATCCCAGTTGTTGGATGGTGCAAACTCCTTCTATGTGGCGTATTGTTGACTTCATGTGAAACCCTGAGTATCCACCCTTACCATTCACATAGAAGTGGATTAGTAAAGTACTTAAACTCAGCTTGTGTTTTAGGGGAATTCCTATTTCCCCCATAATTACTTCCTAACAACATCATTCTTTGCCAGGAAACCCCTCAACTTCCTGGCCCATAAATAAAGTGTCACCATTTATTGTGTTTAAGCCTTATCTGTTTTATCTTAAAGGTGTTGGTCTAAGGAAACCACTCTCTCTCTCTCTCTCTCTCTCTTACACACACACACACACACACTCACAATACACAGGAGGAAACACTGCCAATTTCAATACTGCATGTGGAAGCAGCAGGATGAAAAAGACACCCGGGGGGCGATCACTGTATGCGATGTAAGTGCCGATTTATTGCCTACATGTTGACATTTCCCTCTTCACAAAGTCTACTATAGAACAAGAATGTCTTAGATATACACACACGCACCCCGTCCTGATATAATCGCATGTAAGCAGAGCTGCTGACACAGCATGTGTGTGCACTTACGCATTCGTTAGGGTTCAGCCGTGAAACATATTTCATGTTAACTGCCATTAAAACGGTCTCAGAAAGCCTCAGATCTCAGAGGGAGCTTGTCGACATTAAACAGCTAGGAAAATTAAGAGAGGACATAATCTCGCTCTCAGCAAAAAAATAAGAATCTGAAGCAGGACAGAATTGCTCCTTTAACACCATAGTGAAGACACACTATAATATAGAAGCAACCATGTACAAAACAACAAGCACAGTATAAATTTACAGCTTAGAAGCGTGCATATATATCGCTAAAAATAAGCTCAAACAAACGTATTATTACAAGCTTTAAAGTGAAAGAGAGAGGCTTTTCCTTGAAAGAAATGGCACCAGTTTCCTTTTAAGTTCTCCAAGGTTTGAATTCATAAAAAACATTTATTTTTTATTTTGTCAGGTGTAGATGATGTGCCTTCAAAAGCAGCCGTGAAAATCCTGACTGAGGTTCTTCCCCAGCGTAGGCATCTTTTTTGTCAGGTTGCCAATAAAGCAATTTTGAATTATAAAGAGGGACGTCGCTGCCAGCATTCCTGCCAAGCAACTTTTAAGGTGAGAGATAGAGTGTGTGTGTGTGTGTGTGTGTGTGTGTGTGTGTGTGAGTGTGCGTGTGTGTGCAGGGTGATTTGAGGCTTTAACATACAATAAAAATACTGACACATTCACAATTGTGGAAAAAGACTCCCCTCCACAGTTCTTCTTTCATCTTTACATGAAAGACAAAACTTTTTTCTCTCACCCTTTACCTCCCCCCTTTCTCTCCCACTTCCCACTTTGATACAGACACAGTCAGGCAGAGAGGAAACACAGAGCGAAGTTTCGATAGGCAAGGGTGGAGCCGGGAATGTGTGTGTGTGTGTGTGTGTGTGTGTGTGTGTGTGTGTGTGTGTGTGTGTGTGTGTGTGTGTGTGTACGTGTATGTGTATGTGTGTGTGTGTGTGTGTGTGTTGTGATTTACTGCTGGAATGTGGGTCATTGAGGGTTGTCAAGCTTGCGTAACTGTTGGTAACTGTTACCGTGGAGACACTTTCAAGGGTTCAAACAAAGACCAGCGAAAAGCCAGCGGAGGATCAACACCAACACACACACACACAACTACACACTTTTGCCCACTGGGAACGGACAAGTACAACCACATGCAGCCAGGTCAAGTCCAGTGCGACACCCCCATCTAACCTGAGGAGATGGTACAGTCCAAAAGACACATGCTTCCAGGTTATGGTTCATGGGACACGCCTCTGTTCATGGCAATGGTTCAGTCCTACACAAACATATATTTGAAGTCACGGACAACTCCTAAAACGTGCTTTGGACAAGTTTTACAACCCTATTCCTCCAGATAATGGTATAGTCCAACTTCCCCGCATTCCTCGACATCCATACAGGGTTTGTTTTGCTTTTTAGGAGTGAAATGTAAGCATGTATAAGGAATAATGTCCAGCCTTTTGAAGCCATTTTCTTCAAGTCTAAATTGTAACTATAAAACTAATTGTAAAAAATGTCCTTTATACCCACAGCAACCAATAAGTAGTATTATTTGGCATATTTTATCTCATTTGTACTGTTACTTTTTAAATCTACCCATTCATATCAGATTGTATATTTTCGAAGGGGAGTGATTGTATAGATAAAACACAAGATTATTTTTGAAAATCAGCTATAACAAAATACAAAGGTTAGTGGGGTAATTCGATGAAACGGTCAATAATAATACAATATAATCCATGAACTAAAACACTTGTCCTCTGCTATAAAAAATTTAAATATTGTTTAATGTCTCTATCATTTGATGCATTATTTAACTGGGCAAAAACAAGAACCCACTGTTCAGTTCATCCTTTCTGCAGCGTTTATTCTAATAATCCCTAACAGTTTTCTTTTTGCATTTTGTAAACAGCACACAGAAATGCTAATGCAGCAGTATGTCACCAAACACAACAGCAGCCGGGACACTCCGTCTGTCAAAAACACACATATTCAAAGTCAAATGGAGCACAGCGGTATCTTCAAACTGAAGTCTTTGATGTTGGAATACTTCTGTCACTGTGGGAATGTGTTTATGTGGTATGTAAACATGAATGGTATGTACGCATCTCTACCTGCAAGACTAATTAACTAATGTGTCATGTGTAATTACTGTGTGTGTATTAGACATTATGGTACTGTACATTGTGTGCCAAGTCTTTCTAACACGCTGTACAAGGAGTCATAAGCAAAGGCACACACACACACACACACACACACACACACACACACACACACACACACACACACACACACACACACACACACACACACACACACACACACACACACACACACACACACACACACACACACACACACACACACACACACACACACACACACACACACACACACACACACACACACACACACACACACACACACACACACACACACACACACACACACACACACACACATTCTGTAATGCAAGTAGAGAGAGTGTCATGGTCAGGATGAAAGGGATTTTTGTGACCTTAAAAGGAACTGTTGGAAGTGAGGATGAACTGGTATGGGGCTTGGATTCCAGGTATTCAGTACTTCCATTTCCATTAGTGTTTACCATCTTTAGATACAATACAAATTAGTGAGCTAATTGAGGAGTTTTTTTCCTGATTAAAAAACGAACTAAGCGCTAATATTCTATCAATATATGGATTTTGTTTGACGCAAGTGCTTGTGGAACATCACTGAAATAAATATAAACAAACAATATATATATTCATGTAACTAACATATACTGAGTAGGACCCTTAGCTTTTGAAAACAACAACAACCTGTGAGTGCTCTCCGATGGAAAAACTGTGTACCGTAATGAAGACACTTTTCTTAACCACCTCAAACTTTGACATTTGTGTGTTTTTTTGTTGCCATTACAATACACCGAATCAAAGACTATATCATTCGTATATGACCGGCTCATTCACTACCTCCCTGTTTTATCTCACATGATAACAGGTATCTACAACGCTGCCCTACTTTGTGTGTGTGTGTGTCATAAATAGTCCTGTCTCTCAAGTTTAGCCACAGGTATCGCATATCTGGAGTGCCCTTTCTCACTGTGTGTGTGTGTGTGTGTGTGTGTGTGTGTGTGTGTGTGTGTGTGTGTGTGTGTGTGTGTGTGTGTGACTCAGTGTAGAGAAAGCAGTGTGTGAGTTAACCCTGACTCCAAACTCCTCCCATCATGCTCTCTGACTAACACCTCAGGGTGAA